CAATCCCTAAACCTGGGCTGCAGGCATGAGTCTCTCATTTCAGGCCTCACATGGAATAGGTTTCCCAGAAGAGTCCAGACTTTATCCTTACTTTATTGTTTATAAAAGGGTCACTTAGCCAAATTTACACAATTAACAATGAAAAAAGCTGCTTTTGAGCTGACCCTTACTAATGATGATGTCACGGGTGACAGCTCAGGACTGTGTGCCATACAGCTTTCAATGACTGACTTTTCTGAAGTAGATTGCCAGGTCTTTCTTCTAGGTGCCTCTGGGTGCACTCTAACCTCCAACTTTTCTGTTAGCGACTCAGCAAGTTAACCATTTACACCACCCAGGGACTCCAAATATATAAAAGTGGTTTAAACTGAAAACTTTTAGAACTTTCCTCAACAGGCCAAGTCAAGAAAAAAAAAAAGTATTCTTGATCACACATTGATTGATTCTCAGCCTGAAAACGGTGGTCACACACTGCAGACTGTAAAAACACGTGGCCCTGATGAGGAGTGGATTTGGCTGCACCGTTGATAAGCCACCTGAGGCGCTCGAAGCTCAAGGCCTCTGTGTTCCTTGCCTATGTGAGGGAGTAGCAGTGGGCATCCCATACCCAGCCCTGTCAGGTTAAGAGGGAGGATGCTCTAATGTGTGAAATGCTGAGCACAAAGAATTCTTATCGACCAGAGTAGCAATCAAAAGGGAAAAAGCCAGGCAGCCCAGAGAGCAGAAGTCACAGTTTCTCCTTCCACTATGACCCCAGACAGGTTCCACTACAAAGGAGGGGTGGTCAGATCACCCTCCCCTTCTTACTTTTCTTGTTTTCAATTCAACATTTTCTATGAAATGCCTTGTACTCAGGTCTGTGTGGTGAATCAAAATGGGAGAAACACAAACTCTCCCCTCAAGGCCCTTACAGGATAGTAGGATAGGTGGCAAACTTCTATCTTTTTGGCTCTGTCCGCTCCTGATCCACATGTTCTCCTGTCTCAGCGCTGAGAGGTCAGTGCAGCCCCAGGAAAGGCCGAACCTTACCCAGCAATCGCCAGAGCAGCAGGAGGAAAGGCCAAACTAACCCCAGCAGGGGAAATGAAGGCAGAGGTACGACATCAACTGTGGAACTGGCCCTTGAATCCCAGACACTGACCCTTCAATAACACTGATTTGAATCGAGGGATCCACTTGTTTCATTTTTTAATTGGATTACTTGTCTTTTTTTTGTAGCGGTATTGTAGTTTCCTATAGATTTTAGAAATGAGTCTCTTCTCTGATATGTCATTGCAAAAGATTTTTCCCCATTCTGTGGAAGCTCTCTTTTTAGTCTTTTGGTGAAATCCTTTGATGCACATAAGTTTCTAATTTTTATCAAGTCCCAATCATCTATTTTGTCTTCTTTTGTTTTTGTAATTTTTCACAATGTATCACAGTCTCTGTATACCCAGGATTGGAGCCCTTAAATTTGTCTCCATTTTTTCATTGATGACCTTTATAATTCTGGGATTCACATTTACGTCTTTAATCCACACTGAGTTGGTCTTTGTTTATGGCGTGAGGTAAAGGTCTTGTTTCAATCTTTGCATATCAATTTCCAGTTCTGCCAGTACCATCTGTTGAAGAGACTATGTCTTCCCCACTCAACGCACTTTGGCCCTTTGTTGAAGATCAGTTGGCTGTATGTGGATGGGTTAATTTCTGGATTCTCAATTCTGTTACATTGAGCTATGTATCTTTCATTGTACAAGTGTCAGGCTGTTTTGACCACTGTAGCCATGTAGTAAATTTTGAAATCTGGGAGTGAGAACTTTGTTCTTCACTTATTTATTTCGAAGAAAAATATTTTTCTCTAAAAAAAAAAATATTGTTATTTGAGTAAGTTTATAGAACAAATTGAAGCTGTAGGATAAGCACTGGACTGTGAACCATAAGGTCAGCAGTTCAAACCCACCAGTTGTTCCTCAGAAACCCTAAACAACGTCACAATGAGTGGGAACTGACTCAACGGCATTTAACAACAACACATAGAACAATTGGTTTTCCATTCAACAATTCATTTACATTTTGTTGGGTGACATTGATTGAAATCCCCCCAATGTAACAGTACTCTCCCCATTTCTTCTCTGTGTTCATGATTTCCATTTCTGCTTCTTTCTTATCTCCCCCTCCTGGGTAAATGCTGCTCTCTTCCTCTCACATGGTTGATTATTCTAAGGAGTGTGTACCTCCCTGGTGTTGCTCGTCACCTTATAGAGATGTCTATTGTTTGAATGAAAGTTGAGCCATGGGGCTGAGTTCAGTTCCAGGCTTGTCGGGAGTCTAAGGACCATGCTGTAGGCTCAGCACTAGACTGCTATATACAAGGTCAGTGTTTCAAACCCACTAGCTGCTCCTCAGAAACCCTATCCAAGGTCACTATGAGTCAGAACCAACTTCACGGCACTTAACAACAATAAAGGACCATAGTCTCAGAGATTCCACCAGTGTCCATCAAACCAGTGAGCCTGGTGTCTTTTTTTATGATTTTGAGTTTCATTCTACATTCTGCTCCCACTCTAACCACGACCTGCTATTGTGATCCCTTTCAGAGTGGTCAACAGAGGTAGCCAGGCTAAATCTAGTACGGATCTCAGGGTCATGGAAGCTAAGGTTCATTTGGTCCATTAGTCCTTTAGACTGTTCCCTTGATTTTTTGAGTTTTCTTCATTCTTCTTTGCTCTGGATGGGGAAGACATACAGCTACACCTTAGATGGATGCTCACAAGCTTTTAAGGCCCCATTTGCTACTCACCAAAGTAGGACTTAGAATATTGTCTTTGGAGATTATGTTATACCAATTAACTTGACACTATGGTCCTAAGCCCCCAAGCCTAATGACTCATTCCTTCAATGGTATTTGAGTCCTGGTGTGGTTCTGTAGGATCAGCACTGGACTGTGAACCACAAGGTCAGCAGTTCAAACCTACAGCTGCTCCTCAGAAACTGACTTGATGGCACTTAACAACAACAAATAGTTAATGATTGTGAGCATTCCTATATGTGGTTTTTGGCTGAATGTCTTCTTTGGTGAGGCGTCTGTTCATGTCGTCTGCCTACTGCTTTCTTGCCTGCATGATTTCTGCCAAGAAAGCAGAGCTTAGTCTTATTGGTTGCCCTTCATGGACAATACTTTGTTTTTTCTCAATCTGCATACAATCAAGATTCTTTCTTTGTCTTTGGTTTTGAAAAGGCTGATTAGGCTACGTTAGGATCAGCAGTGATGCTGGAAATGCTCTGAAGCAGCAGACAGGGCATTACCTTACAAGAAACAGGTGAGTAGTTTGGCATGTATTGTAGGTTGGGGTCTGCAGCTGCAGGTGACCACCACCATTTCAAGATAAATGAATCCAGGATGAGGATCATTGTAACCAAAAAGAAGGAAATTTGTAGTCTTCACTACAGTCACACCAGCAGGCATAAAAACCTTGTACTTTTATCTAATATGAAAAATGCAGCCTTTATGTGGGTGCAACATGTAATACATACAGGGGGCTTCAAAAAGTTCATGAAAAATTCCATTATCTTTTCATTCCATTTTCCATGAGCTTTCTGAAGTCACTTCATATGGTATATAAACTATATACTAGTTAACTGTAAGCTATGTCATCTGAAGGGCTTCTGGCCAACAGTAGGCTTTCAGTAATTAAGTTTTGGGGGAATGAAGATTTTTGGCTATGCATCCCTAGTCATCCTGTTATTCAAGCATCAACTATAGCTTCAAAGATATGCATTTAGATCCAAGGCAGAGTTGCCCACAGTGCTCCCCTAAGGTGGGGACACCAATGTAGACAGCAATAAGGGTTCAGCCAGGGCAAACTGCAGAACAGACGAGAGGGTTCTGACTACAGAGATTGGCTCCAGGAAAACACAATCCCTCTCAGGCCACACCCTAGGCTGGCTGTGCAATGAGGCTGGGCAAAGAGAAGCTGCTGAGAAGGCTGAGTCTGGAGCTGGGCAGTACTGCTGAAAGGGTGAAATTAGCCATGCCTTGGAGATGGTCATGGTGAGAGTGGAATAAAGCTCAGAGTTGGTTAAAGCTTTGGGCACACAAAATTATTCTGATGATTAAGGAGGCAGTAGGAACCCTAGAGACCCTAGTCTGGTCTCAGGGCCTTTGCACTTGCTGTTCTACCTGCCTGGGGCTCCTCACCTCAGCTCTTCTTGGCCCCTCCTCCTCAGTGGTCTTTCCTAGCTCCCTACCAAGAAGCATCCTCCAGTTGCCTATCTCGTCCCTATTTCCCTATTTAGTCTTCTCCACAGCCCTTCCCAACTCTGACACAGTCTGGTGTATTTGTGTGTCCTTCTGATCTTCCCCTCATCCTGAATACTGCTGAACTCCCAGAGTCTAGACCACACATAGCACAGAGCACGTGTTCTATAAATCCACGTGGAATGAACAAACCAATGGGTGAGGAGAAGCCTGCACAGCTCCTCAGAGAAGGGCGAGGGCCAGCTGAAGGGTGCTCCATCTCCGGAACCTCAACAGGAGAACCTGGCTGAAAATGCCTAAGGGATTAAGGGATAAATTGGCTGGGATTTCACTTTACATCCCTGCTGTTAACATGGCCTCCAAATGACTTCCCACTCTCCACACTCACATGTGAAACATATCCTCATACACACATCCTGGAGAATGCTGCTCTGGCCACCCACCTTGGCTCTGCACACAGACACACAGTGCCCTCTCTGCTAACATCCTTGAGTTATGGAAGGAAATGTCGACATCTGTACAAACACAGAAAGGACTCTGTTTTCACCTGGTGCTGCTTTAGTGAGCCACCTCACTTTTTCAAGTCCTAGACTCCCCTAACAAGTATACCACAAGTGAAACTGTCCACAACGCACCTGGTTGTGCATGAGAGGAGGAAAGTGTGACCTCAGTCCCTAGATACTCCTGAGGGTCTAGAAAGCTAAGTCCTCTTCCCAATTAAGTGGGAACCCTGTCCCGCCCCTAAGGAACTGCCCATACTTACCACCTGCTTATTCTGCTGCAGCAGTGGGCAGGACAGGTCCAGCTGGGGACTGGCATAGATAGGCATGAGGGTGAGCCTGGACGGTGGGGCACAGACAAACTTCACCACAGCAGGTTCCACTGCAGGGAAGGGGTTGGTGATGCTAGGCTTGTTTCCCACGGAGAGAGCAATGACCTGGACAAAAGATACAAAAGGTGCAGGCAGACACACCTGTGAGTCCCTGCTCCCCTTGGAGCTAAACCATGCCACCCAAGCTCCCCAAGACTCAGTGTTGTCTTCTATGGAAGGAACAGGGGTGCTGATGACACCTACATGCCAGGGTGTAATTACAAAGGCTCAATAGCATCCTCTGTGGGAAGGTGCTTTCTCAGTGTTTAAGAAGTTTTCAGGCGAAAGCCAAGTGGGCTCTCTACGCCGTCGCCAGAAGTACTGTCTCTGTTTGTCCCAGGTTACACTCTGTGGATTTCCACTTCTTAGGACGGGTCACTCCGCCAATCAAAAGTTGCATTACTACATTCATGAGTTTGTGGGGGTTGGGGAATTATTTTATTGTGCTTAGGCAAAATTTTACACAGAAAATTTGTTTTCTATTCAATAATTCATTCACAATTGTTCTGTGACATGGGATGTAATCACTGAAATGTGCCGGCACTCTCCCACTCCCACTCCCACTCCCACCCTGGGTTCGCCGCCGCCTCTTGCCTTCTCATTTTGTTTTTGGGTAAATGTTGCCCTTTTGGTCTCCTATTGTTGATTTTTCTAAAGAGTTCATTTCTCACTGTTGATTTTACAGGCTGGTCTGTCATTTGGTGGTTTCAGTTCCATTAGAAGGGAGGCTTAGGGCAATAGTCTCCAGGGTTCCCCGGTCTCTAGCCAGCCAGTTAAGTCTGGTCTTTTTTATGGATTTGACTTTTTTTCTGTATTTTTCACCCATTCTAACTAGGACTTTCTATTGTGTTCCCAGTCAGAGTAGTAGGTAGTGGTAGCGGGGCACCATCTAGTTCTCTTGGTCTCAGGTTAGAGGAGGCTGTAGTTTCTGTGGGCTAGCAATCCTTTGGACTAATTGCTATGAGTTTGGTTTCCCTCACTTTACTTTACTCTGGGCAGTAAAAGACCAATAACTGTCTTAGCTTTTAAGACCCCAGAGGCTACTCAGAAAACTAATATATAGAATATTATCTCTATGAACCATGTTATGTCAAGTTTGTGGGTTTTTAAATAAGGAACCCATGCTGATTTAAGCTATTCATAAAAATGAGGTACAGACTGAGCATGTGTGTGCTACAAAAAGATGGACTGAGCTCCATGGGGAATGGGTGGGAAAAGTCCTGGGGGCCTTTCTGGATTCCTGCCCTTCCTACTTGCTTTGCTTGATGTCTCTCTGAGTGCAGTTTGATTTGATGCAGAGACGGAAATTAGAGATGCAAGAGATCTACACTTGCTTTAGAGCTGGTACCGCAGAACCTGAGTCCTTCATTTTATAAGAATGACCAGAGGAAGACAGTTAACGGCCCATCCTAAGGAAACACCCTCGGCTTCCTCCAATGACACACTGCCTCTTGACAAACCAGGATTCTTGACAATGAAGCAAAACAAGGCAATTTCCTCCCTGATCTGTAGGCTTTCCACTTTACTAAGCCTTGTTTACCTGCCTGTGAAATGGGTACAACAGGAACAGCACTTTCTCAAAGGTACTTTGAAGATCCAATGAAATTTTGCTGTGAGACCCTGCAGAATATCCCTCCCTCTGAACAAGCTGAGCCTGCAGTTTCTGCTCTCTCACCTGCTCACCCAAGGCCTGGCACGTCACAACGACCCAGTGTTGCTGGTAATTCCGGGAGGCAGGGGGGCCAAAGAGCGCCAGAGTAATGCTGTCCATGTCCTCAGAGGTGACGTTCTGGAAGAACTTGGAAGGCTCAAGGACCCAAGGTCTGGGACCTCCTTCAAACAGCATCTCCTTTGAGGATCCCAGGGTCACCAGGGCAACAGAGGAGGGGTCCACAGCCTGTGGAGGAAAGGGAGAGAGGACACAGTATTCCTGTGAGAGAGGCTGGGCAGCTGCAGCCAGGTTCCCCACCCTGAAGCTACTCCATTCCCACAGTAGTTTCCTCTTTGAAACTCAGTTTCCTTGTCTGTAACATCCATAGGGTTTTTCTGAAGATCTGAATAAATAAGGGATGTAAGAGCACTTTTAAAACGAAAGAAATCCTTGTTCACTGATAAACTGCTGGGGATACTAAATGATGTTTCTCTTTTTAAAACAATCTGGTAAAAGCCTTTAAAATATTCCTAGTCTAGACTCTAGGACCATCAAGGGAGAAGAGCATGAGCAGAATGTGGAACCCTCTCCAGAGAAGCAGTAACACCAGAGATATAGGCAGAGATGATGACATGGAGAGAGAGGGCAGCTGAGGACTCTAGACTCATGGAAAGAGAAAGGCTGTGTGCTGACAGCCAGGAGGCAGGCTTGCAGAATGTGCCCTTTGGTTGTTTAAATGATTCCTGAATGTTTTTTTTGTACACTGCCCCTCCCAAAAAAAAACAAAACAGAGGGAATAGAAGCAAGTATTATTGAATGATGCTGCACGGAGGAGATTGTAATCATTGCAATGAAACAATGTTGTCAAACTGAAGTTCTCCCATGCAAAACTATCACTCAATTCAAAATTAAAACTTTGGGGAAAAAAATTTCTAGTCTTCAAGTCCAGGAAGTCCACACCTGGAATCTAACCTAACAACAGAAAAGGAAGAAGAAAACCATCGTGTACAAAGATGCTCATCACACTACATATCATAGCCAAAGATCAGAAACCATCTAAAACCCATAAGGAGAAGTAAACATGGCATATCCATACCATGGAATGTTCTGCAGGTCCCTAAAGAGCATTAACAAGAACTACAAGTGTAGGGCACACACTCAGCATATAGTTTGATCACAACCATACTGTCTTGAATACACATTAAAAAGTCCTAGAAAGAAATACACCAGATGACCTAATGAGATGTAGACAGGGGGTTCTTTGGGGGCATAACTGCTGGCAGCCTCTTTCCCCTTTTATATGTATGTCTGCACTCCATGAGATAGACTGTTTGCCAGTTTTGTCTCTAGCACCTGTAACAGTGTCTGGCACATACTAGGTGTTCAATAACTATTTGTTAAATAAAAAAGTAAATTGGCAATTAAGTAAATAGTGGACGGATGAAAATCTCTTTTTACAAAAGGCTCCCATTTACTTTCCCAGCTTACATAACGTGCTCCAGGGCCTCCCACGTGGACAAGGGCAGTCCTTAGGGTTCTGGGTAAGGGACTCATTCTCACTCAGAGCAGAGGGAAGGAGGACCTCTTCCACCAGATACATCTGGGGTGCAGAAAAGGGATCTCTCTGAGGAGCCTGCAACCCTCACCCTGACACCCTGCAGCCCTCTCCCTGACACCCTAGGCTGACCTATCACTTCAGAGATCACTGAGGTGATACCAGGTCTCCACTTGTCAGGGTGTTTCCCCCTTACTCTCCTAAACAAGTCCTCCGCTCCTGCTGTGCTCAAAGAGACTTCCATTTCCCCTCAGGAGCTGGGACTCCTGAGCCCTGACCTTGTCCCTCTGACAAGTGGCCTTTCCTTCAGCATCCTCCTCGCCTCTCTGGGTCCTCACTGAGGGTGCCCGCTGCCTTTCACTATCGCTTCCCCATAATTCAGGCAACTCTTAGCAGACCTCATGGCTTAGTTACCCCTCTGGCAAGGCCCTGCTTCCTCCCTCACGTAGAGTCAAAGACTCCTCTCCCCTGCTTCCCACTTCACTGCAAGGATCTGGGGGTCTCTCACTGATCAACTGTGGGCCTACTAGGGTGAGGCTCATCAGCTTCCTTCTTTAACTCCAGTCATCTGGCAAATGAAAAATCACATGGCAAAAAAACAAGTGTTTTTTTTTTTAAGCAAGAAGAAATTACAATAACTCTGAGATATTATTTCTCAGTCCTCTGATCAGCAAAAATAAAAAATTCTGACCCCACACTGTGCCAGCATATCTGTGTAGAAGCATGTATTCTCAAACCCTGCTAGTGAAATTACAAAATGGTATAGCCCCTGCAGAGAAATGCTGTGAAATCTACCGAGATTACAGACGTTATTTACCCATTTCCAAGCAATACTCCTTGTAGGGAGTCCTGGTGTGGCTCTGTGGGTTAATGCTTTGGACTGCAAAGTCGGTTTGAACTGTAAGGTTGGCAGTTCAAACTCACTGGCACTTAACAACTTAACTCCTTGTAGTAATGCATCCTGAAGCTACTCACTACATTGGCAAAATTGTAAAAGCCTAGAAACATCCTTAACGGAGCCCTGTGGCTTACCCAGAATACTGACGGGGAGGGGGGAGGGGGGTGGTTGCCCGATTGTTAAGAATCAAGAGGCAGAACAGGCGATGGAGCATACCACCTTTTAATAAGAGATGAAGGAAGGAATATATAAGAGCAATCAATCACTCTTGCTAATTTAAGCAGAAATACACAGGAAAAGAATCCAGATCCTTTTCTACAGGGGGGGAAGAGGGCAGAGGGATTGTAACGGAAATGAGATTTCTGAGTATTCTTTTTAATGCAATTTTAGCTTTGGAACACCATCAACATTCACATATTCAAAAAGTAAATTAAAAAGCAAACTCTAAACTGAGAAGAAATGGAAACATGTCTAACTACATCAGATTGATCATTAAGTCTGCACCACATGCCTTTGCCTCTTACGAGTCTCAGTATTTTTTAGCTCAAGCATTACAGGTATGGTTTACCTCAAGTGCCATTTATGACTGAGCAGTAAAAGCTGACAGTGGCAGGATTTGTGGAGCTGGGTTCCAAGGCTGAGCTAAATAGAGGATGCCAGTATTGATTAGCAATGCCTGCCATGGGCATGGCATGGATGCAGGTAGATACCCAGTGCTAATATCAGACCAGAGCCCACAAGGGCAGGGGTCACTTCTATTCAGACAGCCTGTGATGGATCATGGCAGATGAGTAAATCCTTAACAGTTCAATCACCAGACATAGAGATTACTCCAAGGTCCAGCTTCCCCAAGTCCTACTCTCTAAGAATCTAGAAGCCTCAAGTGTACAAGCTCAGGGAAAAATGTCCAGTTTCAGAACCTCTGTGTGTCTTCCTGGGATAGGGTGGGAATGGGTGGAACCAAAGCACTCCACACCTCCTTTGAACATTACTTTTATTTATCAACTTGGTTGTGATGCCCAGCTGTTTGGCCAAACACACATCTAGACTGTTACGGAGTATCTACATGTCAGTAAATCAGGTCGCCTTAAGTAAAACACACTACCCTCCATAATTCATAATGTGGAAGAGCATCAGTTGAAGGCATGCCAAAGAAAAAGGGAGTCTCCCTAGGGTGTGTTCTGCCTCCAGACTAGAGACAGATATTTTGGCAGAAATTTTCCTTCACTCTTCTTATTGCCTTGTCTATGGATTTGGGGGAAAAGAGGCAGGAATCTTCAGTCATTTATTGTTTGCCTCTTCTTTCATTTTGGCCCAAGATATATGACTTCTGCCTCAGTTTCCCAGCCAGTGAGCCCTAATCTGACCACAGGCTACCTATCTGGGCCCCTGACCCTCTCTCTGGCTCTGTTCCTTTCCTCCCCTTCACCCCACAGGAGCTGGGTACTAACCTGCCAGCTGCCAACAGCCAGCTGTCCTCGCCTACAGACTGACAAGCACATGGCTATCTCCACAGTCCTGGGCACTGGTGCAGCACCCTGGCTAACTGTCACCTGGAATTTGGAGATGGGAACCCTACTGGGCAGTAGCTCAAGACACATACATCCTCACAGGTGGCAGGAGAGCAAAAAGGTGGGTGTGCGTGTGGTTACACTAGACCCTCAGAGCACCTCCCTGGATTTGATACAGGTTATGATTCTTAGACACCCGTCCCCACACACATGGGCACATGTGCACACACAGACACTCTTCTGCATGTCCTTCTTTGGTGTAGATGTTCAGCATGCTCAGGGTCTTTGCTTTGTTTCCCCCTGGAACTCTCTCCCTCAGGACAGCCACATGGCCTCTGCTCAGACACCCAGTCCTCAGGGAGGCCTTCTGTACCTCCCTCCTGTCTAAAGCAGAGCCTCTACCACTCCTGCTTCATTGTCCTTGTCACTCCCACCATCACTACATGTGTGTTCATTTATCTCTTTCTCAGTTCCCACAATGAGAAGGAAGCTGTCACTTGCTACTGTGTGGCCTTAAGCAAGTAAAATAGATACAATGATAACTTCTGCCTCATAGACTTACGTTGGGGTTTTAGGGGCATGTATGCAAGTCCTGAATGTATGCCTAGGTCATGCTCAATAAGTGGCCCCTGCCATCTTTATCTTACAGATATGGACGTGAATCCCAGGCAAGTCAAGCATGGGCATATGTAACCTGCTCTGATTACAAACCTCTTGCTCTTGCCCATGTCTTATTGCTACTGCTGGTAAAACTGCACTACAGGCAAAGAAGGTCGTTTGTAAACCTTGTTAGAGATTGTCTTCATGACGAGCCCAAAGGGAAATGACTGTCCAAAGGCACAGGCATGTCTTATAATTAACAACCAGAGAGCTATGAATTATCACCTTCACACTTAATCCCTTTACCACTCAGGCATAAAATGTGCCAAGGAGGCAGGCTAGCTGTCAGCACAGCCACTGAAGGACATCCATAAATGGCACAGGCTCTGTTGAGAATATTAAAGCGCAAACATCCAAACAGATAAAGACATGATAGGAGGATGCCATGCACCTATTCAGACCTTAGTTTCCAGGTTTACAAAACCTAAGGGTGGGCTGGATCATCTGAGACGCACTGGAAGTCTACACTTCTCCGTGTAGACTGATGTTCACACTCAGTCTAGGGCTGGACACAGATCCAGAGGATGCTGGGAAGTGACAATCTAAGGCCCCACCTACACGTGGCTGGCCCTGAGCCTCCAGCATCCATGTGCATGGTCCACATTGACCTCCAGAATCCAGACCTAGACCCAGAGCTCCCCAAAAGTAAGCTTCAGAAAGACAAGGGCACTCAAGACCCCTACAGCAGAGAGAGGCTAAAGTAGTCGGAGGCTGACAGTGGAGGAGTTAGGTAAGGGGCATACTTGAGTCTAAATCACTGTAGAATCCTCACGGGACAATCAGATGTTGGAGGTAAGGTATAGGTCAGCATGGGTCAGGGGGAAGCAGTCTCCACAAGATCGGGAATGGCACACCTACCCACGGTCTGGCCGGTCAGGGTGCTCTTATAAGTGTCTGCTGTTACTACTCCCCAACCTTCACTGCCGTCGGCTACATGCAAACATCCAAGTCCAAACCCAAGAGGCCCACCTAGCTGCCTGTTTCAGAATCCAGTTAGTTCCCCATGAGTCATGCTTCCTGCTCTATGCCTGCTTCTGGTCCCCTCTATTATGACCCCCTATAACTGTCTGAGTGTCTGGCATTCCCATAGGCCACTAGCCTCCCAAGGGACAGACAGATTTCTCCCCAGACCCTATCTTCTGGGCCTGGGCCTGACACCAAGTACCCAGTGACCATCTGCAGAGTGAACTGTTAACTTAGCTGCCTTCTTCATTGTTTCCACACTCCCCTTCTTCCTTAGGGAGACCCTGTTTTATCCATCTAAGATACTGCCCATCCTCTCTTGCCCATAGGTGTGGCCAACAGGCTAACTTTTAGTGAGTGAATGTTCTGTACTGGGGGTCAGATTATTCTTGGGGTTTTGAATTCTAGATTAGGAGCTGGATAGTCTCATGTAGCAGAAAGCAACTGGTGAAAGTCAGGGAACTCCCTAAGAGGTGACTCTTTGCCCTTCCTATAATTTGGAACGGGAATGTGATGACCGGAATTTCAGCATCCATTTTGAACTATGAGGCAAACTTGAGGGAGAAAATATTGAAGAGGATGCATGAAAGAGGATGATGCATGAAACAACAGAAGCCTGGGTCCCTGATGACAATGTGGCTACCACACTAGTCCTGTACTGTCCACCTTAAGATCTCACATATGAAAGAAAAATTCTTTACTGTTTGAGCCATCATCATTTTGGCTTTTGTTACTTGCAAAGAATTCTGATCTTAACATATATCAAGGCAAGAGGGGAAAATAAAGAAGATTCCCCATACCCATCTTTCTCTGTCAAAGTTTGTTCAATCAGGAAGCCAGCTTGGTTGAGGACATCTTCCTCTTTTATCCCAACTTTGGACAGTAGACTCAGTCATTGGCCTCTCTGCTCTGGCTAAATACCCAGACAATTGGACCATCTGGAGTAAGCACAAGAAAGGGCCTTGGGGAACCTCCTCCTCAGGTTCCTGGTGGGCTGCCCATCTCGTGGAAGGTGGTGACAGGGAGTTCTGAGAATGATCACTGCCATCTTAGGGATTTCAATCCTCTTGAAGTCTGCTCTCTACTCTCTCTCGCCACCTCTAGTGCCATGCACTAATACCCATGCCATGGCACAGATGTACATACTACGTCACTTATTTGGTTTCTTTATTGCCTGTCTTTACTTCTCTCAGTTAGCATGTCAGTGCACTAGGGTGAATTTTCCGTGTTTGGACAATTGTATCTCTAAGGCCTCAAAGGGGTACTATCATATAGAAAGCACTTGTCAATACCAGCTGAATCAGAGGATGATGGCATAGGAAGAGGACTGGGCCTTCTGCACTTGACATTCATCTATAGGTGTCTGCTACTTGTGGTCTGGCATTCAGGAGATGTGGGCGTCTTAATTCTGGGTAGGTAATCCTGGACATTTTCTTACTCATCCATAATAAAACAGACAGCCCTTGATTGAATTCTGCTCTGAATCAGGCCCTGTGCACTGAGCTAATATCACTGGGCTTGCCTCTAACTGCAAAAGCAACAGGAAAAAATGTAGTGACAAAACCAGGGTGAAAGCTGTCCCAAGAGTGGATTCAAGGTGTTATGGAAATGCAAAGAATGACTAGCTCCCTGAAACACAGAGTCCAAGAGCTACATCCACCATCCTACTGAGTGGTACCCAGTGTACTTAGGTGGAATTCTCTTTTAGTTCATCTTTTGAGCACTTACTACACATTAGTCACTGTCCCAAGCCCCTTTCATTCACTTGGTTATATAATCATCATCTAAAGTTAAGTGTGGTATCAGCCCCATTCCACAGACAGGAAAAGTGAGGCCCAGAGTGAGTGCAATACTCACATTGGTGGTTAAGTGCCAGGTCTGCTGTGGGAGTGAAGGTGTGTGCTCAGATACCACGACACCATGCCCACCTCCCTCTGCAGCTAGGAACAGGGACTCAGAACATGACGTGACTTTCTAATGTCGTGCAAGGGCAGAATGCCGACTTGAGACCTGAACGTGTGCGTAACACCCCAGGGCTCTTGTCCACACTCTAGGATCCCACCGGGAACTGCATCCTTCTGAAGCTGTCAGAACCGACACTCCTTTGGCCACTGGTGTCAGCAGTCAAGGGTCCAGGATGAGAAGACAGAGGGTGGCTAGGCCATACACATTCCTCACAAGGACATGAATTCCAAGAGTCATTCTGCACATTCTGGGTTTGAGTATGAATTGGAACACTGGACTATTCATGTCAGATGTCAGAGAAGGGGTGGGCGAGGAAGAGGGTCAGAGCTCACCTTGAGGGGCAGATAGGCGGCAATGGTGATCTTGGCACTCAAGTGGATGTGGTTATGCCTGTAGCTCACGAGAAGCGTGGTGTAGCCCTGGGTTTCTGCTCGCACCTTGACCCCACTGCAGTGCTCAGCCCCTGGCTTGAGCCTCCCTGCAAGAAGGAGAGACAACCTATGGTTCCACGCCTCCTCTCTGCAGGGTGAAGACACAGGGGCTAAGAGCACTCCCATCCTGGAAATCACAACACAATCAGATTTTTTAACTTTAATTTTTTTTAAATGTAAAAAAACTGTGCATCCCAAAAAGCACTTGTATCAAAAGTATATAACTCACAATGATCTTTTTTATCACAAACTGAACACACCCAAGTATCCATCAGTACCTGGCTCAAGAAACAAGACCATGGTCAGCCTCCAAGTCTCCAGAGACCCTTCTAGTCACTACCCTGGTAAGACCATATCTGTCTAAGTCCCAACAGCACAGCTTAGTTTTGATTGTTTACGTTCATATATATGGAATCACTCACTGAGCATAAACTTTGGTATCTGGCTTCTTCCACTCAATATGTTTTGTGAGATACCTCCCAATTCTACTCACATTTCTGCATACACGTGAGTTCCATTGTGTGAACATGCAATCAAAGATTTATCCATGCTTCTACTAACGAACATTTGAGTGGTTTCCAGTTTGGGGCTATGATAGTCTATTTCTGCTACAAACATTTTTTTAAGTTTTTATTGTGAACTGAGTGGTCTTTTACATGGGAAAACATCAGTTTTGCACTCATCCTATTGTATTTTATTTCACTGCAATGATTACAATCCCCTCCAGGCATCATCATTTGGCATCACCATTTAACAGTATTTGCTTTTATTCCCTGTTTTTGTTTTTGTTTTGGATGTACACAAAAATACTCAGTAATACATTATCATTTAAACAACCAAAGGGCACATTCTGCAAGCCTGCCTCCTGGCTGTCAGCACACAGCATTTCTCTTTCCATGAGTCTAGAATCCTCAACTGCTCTCTTTCTCTCTACACCATCATCTCTGCCTCTGTCTCTGGCTAGGGTTCCACATTCTGCTCCATGCTCTTCTCCCTTGATGGTCCTAGGAACCTCTGTTTCTGGACTGTAAGATTAACTACTCCCCTATTTATGTTATAAAACTTCTACCTTTACATTTGTGACAATCGCAATTAGTCATGATAACTACTGAATCAAAAGAATCCTATCCTCATCTCCCCATCTCCTTTCACTAGACACGTCTAGACAAGATGAAAACTATTCAGTGGGGATCCTGCCCTCCTCCACACACTCTGAAACTAAACTCCCTCTTGTAAACTTGTAAGCCAGTCACTTTGTGCCTTTATAGGCCCCCTCCCCATGTCAGGTAGCCAATGTCTAAGTTGCTCATCCTTATCAACCCTGTGTATAGAGGAGATAGGTCTGATCCTTGATATGAAGACTTCTTCCCTCTAGGCTGGTATTTTGAGCTACTACATCCATAAGTATAGGTCAAGTTCATTAAATTATAGCATTTTATACTTGCTTCCTTTGCCAAATTTCTTTATGTTCCTCTAGTCAAGCTGTAGTCATCAAGCCATCAAAGCTAGGTCAAATGGGTACTATCTGCCAGTTCTTATGTTTCTCCCCCACTTTATATCAGCTGGATACTTCACTCTCAGCTATAACCCTCTGTGGCTAGGTCAATGTCCATGGTCTCAGGAGTTCCTAAGTCTCCCCTAACTTCAGACCAACCAGCCCTGCCTCTTCTCTCTCTCAAGGTCGATGAGAGTCTGTGGAACGTGATCAGACTCAGCCCATGTCTTCATTACTGCCTTTCCCCCACTTCTACTCAAATGTAGACCAACGCAGTTGCCAGCGAGCTTATACGCCTGCTCCTGTGTTCCCTTTGAGTTTCAGTCTTGGAGGAGGGTTTGTCCTGAAGGGACTTGATTGCCTGCCTTGATGGCTCCCCAGTGAACAGCTTGCTTGTTCTTTCAATAGCCAAACAGACTACCATTTTTGTTTTTTCCTGCTGGTCTTTCTTTCAGGAAGTTATCTTCTGTTCCTCTACCCACTCTGGGTTGGTCTGCATGTCCTTTCAAGTGGGACTGTCCCACCTCAGATGCTACAAACATTTTTACATGCTTCTTTTGGTGAGCATATTTAAGCATTTCTGCCAGGTGTATAACCCAAGAGTGGAACTTGCTGGATCACAGGGAGCGCATATCTTGACCTTTGTCAGTCATTGCCAAATATTTTTCCCAAAATGGTTGTTTTGATTTATACCGCTACTAATGTGGCACTGATGTGGTGCTGTGGGCTAATACAATGGACAGCAAAGTTTATTTGAACTGCAAGGTCAGCAGTTCAAGCTCACCAGCTGCTCCTCGGAAACCCTATACAGAGTCACTATGGCACTTAACAACAACAACAACAATGTGGCACTGTGGAGTCCTGGTGTGACGCTGTGGGCTAATGTGCCGGACAGCAAGGTTGGTTTGAACCACAAGGTTAGCAGTTCAAGCTCACCAGTAACTCTTTGGAAACCCTTTACACGGTTGTTATGAGTTGGAACCAACGTGACAGCACTTAATAACAATAACGTGGCACTGTGGAGTCTGGGTGTGGTGCTGGACCTCAAGGTCGGTTTGAACCACAAGGTCAGCGGCTCCTCAGAAACCCTATACAGGGACACTATGAATCAGAACCAACTTGATGGCACTGTTAGGTTAGCAGTTCAAACCCACCAGCTGCTCCTTGGAAACCCTATACAGGCTCATTATGAGCTGTAACAACAGCAACAACTCTATATCCCTACAAATACTTAGAATTTTCCATCTTTTTAAAAGGTCATGCTGGGGGGTGTACTGTGGTATTTCATTGTTTTCTTTTGTAACATTTTATTATGAAAAATTTCAAGTAGAAAAGTTGAATGCCTATATACCCATCATCTAGATTCTAAAATTAAGGAGCTCTGGTAGCATAGTGGTTACGAATCGGGCTGTGAAGTGTGAGGTCAGCAGTGCGAATCTACCAGCTGCTCCATGGAAAGAAAGATGAGGCTTTCTGCTCCTGTAAAGATCGACAGCCTTGGAAACCCTGTACAGGGTCACTATGAGTCAGAACCGACTCCACAGTATATCAAGACCATGACGAGAGTCTAAAAATCAATATTTTTCTATATTTGCCTTATTGCATATCTATCCATCCCTCCATGTGCCTATCCATCAGGCTCATTTTCATGCATTTGAAGTCATAGAGACATTAGCACACTTCATCCCTAATATTTTATTATGCATATTCAATATTTATTTATGGTTCTTTTTTTAAGACCAGTTTTGCTATTGTTTTTAAGTGCCGTCAAATTGGTTCAACCCATAGCAATCTTGTACAGGGTTTTCGGAGCTTTAAATCTCTGTGGGATCAGAAAGTTTCATCTTTCTCCCCTGGAGCAGCTAGTGGACTCAAACCACCGATCTTGTAGTTCACAATCCAGTGCCTATTGAATGGTGCCATCGTGCGCCCCAGCGTCAGCCTTACACATAGTGAATGCAAACATCTGAAATGGACCACTCCATGAGTTCAGAGCCATTTCAAGACACAGAATATGGCCATCTTCCCAGAGCACTCTCGTGCCTCAGAGGTATTCACTGGCCCATTCCAGTTTTATTACACCACAGACTAGGTTTTTATAATGCTAGAAATGTAATTCAGACACCACAAAATGCACCCATTCAAAATCTACAATTCAGTAATTTTGAGTATATTCAGAGTTGTGCAACTATCACAACTACCTAATATTACAGCATTTCACCACCTCAAAAAGAAATCCTGTTCCCATAGCAGCCACTCCCCACTCCTTTTACCCAAGGTCCTGGCCACCACTAATCCATTTTCTATCTCACCAATAACATTTCACAGAAATGGAAGTATGCCCAGTGGGCCTGGTTGTTCACTCAGCACCTGCCTGCAGTTCGCTGATGCTGTGGCATGGATCAGTAGTGTGTACCCTTTTCAGTGCTGTGTAGTATTCCGCAGTGTGAGTGTTCCTTTGTTTATCCACTCAGCAGCTGATGGCCACCTGGGGGGGAAGTTCCCAGATGAAGAGAGCTGCCATGAATATTCGTGTGTAAGTCTTCCCCACGGAGTGACTTACTCAGGACATATTTCAGTGCATGCTGCTCTGCCAGTGGCCACTGCCATGGCAGGTATAGGCCTGTCCTTTACCAAGAGGGGGCAGAAAACACAGTGACCACAAAAAGAGTCACACATTCCTATGAACAACTTTACATAATTACAAGACCCTAGACTAGAGCCTGCTGCCTTCTGGTCAGGCACACAGAGTCTGGCCATCCCTTTTCTGAAAAACAGCTTATGCACAGCTGGGAAGACATATAAACAAACAGAATCCTGAGATGGTATAACCTGGACCCCAGACTGCAGAGGCACATCCTGGTGGGCTCCTTCATCAGTCTTAAACCTGAGCATGCTACCTTGGCCTGCACTGGCCAGGGGCCTTCCACCAGACCACACTCCTCTGGGCTTTAAACTCTGGAAGTAGTGTTAGCTGGCCAGTGTCTATACCCTGATAGTGGTGTGCCCTGCGGCAGGGGTGTATCAGCAGAGCTGTGATTCTGTTGACCCTGGCCTGGTCCTGTGCTCATGGACTTCCAGAGCATGAGCATCTCCACCCATGAGCATGACCAGGAGCCAGGTCTGTAGGGCGCACATTTTTCATACAACGTCAGCCCTCAACACAATCTTATACAGGGCCAGGCGTATGCAGCATTGTGTGAGACTGAAGGAACTTTCTAAGGGGAAATCTGACGCCATAGGTCCTCTGTCTGTCCTGGCTTCTGTCCTTCAAATGCAAAGTCCTTGAGAGATCCTCCTTCATTTAGCTGAGTGATGCTCATGTGTAACCCTCACAACAAGCCTCATTTTACAGATGGGCAATCCAGGGCACATAAAGGCTGGGCAACTTGCTCAACATCATACAGCCAATAAATGAGTGAAGGAAGATGAGCTCAGGCCAGCACCGTCCACTTCCTGGGGACCCTCTGGAAGTTGACCTACCCTGATCCATCGAAGGCACACATGATGGTCATGTAGTGGTGGCTGTGAGAGGGGAGCCAGCTTGTCTCCTACTCCAGCACCCGTTGCTCCATCACACTGGTGTTTGTGTGCTCCATCTTAAATGGCTACTTTGCTGACGAAACTTCAGATTTAATGAAGCTTGTTCCCTGGATGGCTCAGTAAGTCATAGCAGTGCCTCCAGGGAAAGGCACGAATGCAATCTGCTAAGTGATTTCTCAGGGAAATGGGCTTCTTCCTCTGAGCAGTTTGAAATTAAAGCAGCTTTGTAAGTAATCACAGCTCCAGCAGGTGTTAGAGCTGCTAGTGATGCCAGAGATGCTGCACAGCCTCGGCCAATTCAGCTTCCTAAACTGAACCACGTCACTCCTCTGCCCAGTAACCTCCAGGGGCTTCCCACTGTCTGGACACCTGGAGCTCTTCAGGACTTGACAGCTCTGCTGCTCCAAATCCCCATGCACACCTCTAGGCCCTTGCCCACACTACCACTCTGTGCCATTCTCTTACTTCTAACCCTCTGTCCAAATCTTACTCATTCATCTTTCCTCATCTGCAAACAGGAGAGAAAGACCGCCTCTGCCCTGTGTCACTGGAGCCCCAGTCAGTCTCAGATCTCTGCACTTCTGCAGCCACGTGACCATGGACAAGCCATGCAGCCTTAGTTTCTTTAGCTGACACATGGCCTAGCAGCAGTCCCCTCTCCTACAGTGAATGTGAAGTCTTATGAAGTCACACACACACTGCTTATCCCGATGATAGCTGGCAGAGCTAACATTCGATAAACCAATCTCTTCTACTACAGTCACCACTGAAATCACCACCTACACCCCATAGAAGTGTAAAGGAAAGAGGGGGATCCCTGTGTGTTACAAAGGTGTTATGATTTCATAGCTAGCCCAAGACCCATCAACTGTGTCTTCTGATCACCTAGTGCCTTCTAGCCCTAAAATAGGTGCTTGAACATGCCATTTTATTTGCTGTTGTTGTTAAGTGCCATTGAGGTGGTTCTGACTCATACCAACCCTGTATAGGGTTTTCAAGAAGCAGCTTGTGGGTTTGAACCAGGAACCTTGTGGCTAACAGCCCAGTGTTTATCCTACAGTGGCACAATCAGGAGTCCTATTTAGGATCGCCACTTTATCTTCGTAGAAACTCAGAGAGGTGAATGATTTACTTAAGGTCACAAAGATGGCAGGGGTCAGACCAGAATGTAGGCTGAGCAAAGGGACAAATGCCGCATGGTGGTCCCACTGCTGTCTCGAGCCCTCTAGTAAGGCTTCTGGAGCAGCTAGTACTGGGAACTCAGGCCCACATTCCGTCTGGCACACAGCAGCAGCACTGCTTACCTGGGAGCGGCTGGAACACACCCTGGTTTTCCACTTCCACCACCAAGTCGAAATGGGAGCAGTCGCTCAGAGTGACCACCTCATTGGTTCCGCCAGGCATAAGACCACTAATCCTCAGGGGCAGCTCCAGAGTCTGGCCTACTCGAGCCTCCACTGGACACGAGGTGAACTCCATGCTGCTGGGCTCAATCACATACACCTAGGGACAAGGGTGCACCTGAACCCAGACATCAGCATCCATGAGGGAGGAAGGGTCCATGCTGGGGTTCACTTAGAACTACTGTGTGCTGGGCATTGAGAGCATGCTAGGAGGAAGACAGCTATCAAGTGAGGTTCTGCCTTTGCAGGATGACCCACTTCCCAATGCCAATTAAACATTTTATTCATGACACTTTCAATAGTCTGATGCTGAGTTAGGGTCAGACGTAACAGCCTGTGCTAGGGAGTGGGGTGAGGGCCTCCTTAGACAGCAATTGGGGCAGCTCCTTTAAGAAGGTGTCCTAGGAGCTCAGAACTGAGTGCCACCTGTATACCTTACAAAGGCCTGGAGCGAAATGCTTCAGAAGGGATTTGCCAGTGCAAAGGCCCTGAGGCATGCTGAAGCTTATTAGCACACTAGAGTAGCAGGGAGACCGGCACAGTGGCTGAAATACAGAGAGGGAGCAGAGATGAGGAATGAGGCAGTGGGCCAGGACCCTCATGACTTAACTTGGGTTTACAGGACCCCTGTGGGAGGACTTGGGTTTACTCTGGGAAAGATGGAGAGTCTTTGGGTGTTCCCCACACTCTGGGGGATAAATGTGAGTAATGGCTTAAACTAGGGCACCAGCACTGAAGGGGGTCAGATTTGAGACATATATTCTAAATGTACAGCTGAATGGATTTATTGGTAAGCTGGCTATAGAGCTTAAGACAGAGCCATCAACAAGGACAATAGCTAATACTTATGTAAAACCTACACGCTGGGGTGGGTTCTCAGAACATTACTAACTCATCTAGTCTTCTCAGCGTCCTAGTCAAGGCTAACCTCAACGGTCTAATAAAGAGTCTGGCACCACAGCATGTGGACTCTGTGTGAACCCAAGCAGGACAACCAGGAATTCAAGTTCGAACCAGAACATTGGTCTCCCTCTTCAGAAAAAGAACTTGGACTTTGGTTAGAGCACTTTGGAAAGGTAGTACATTTACTGAGCTGGGGAAATTTGGGGTTTACAAAACGCTCATAGCCTGACCCCAAAGTGTAGTAAGCTTTGGTTTTACAAGCTTATACAAAGCCAGACATATGTAGCACTGTTAAAGACTGAAAGAATTTCCAGTGAGGAAATCTGACGCCACAGGGCCTCTGTCTGTCCTGGCTTCTGTCCTTCAAATGCAAAGTCCTTGAGAGATTCTCCTTCACCAAGCTGAGTGACGTTCATATGTAACCCTTACAACAAGCCTCATTTTACAGAAGGGCAATCCAGGGCACAGAGAGGCTAGGCAACGTGCTCAACATCACACAGCTAATAAATGAGTGAAGGAAGATGAGCTCAGGCCAGCACTGTCCAGTTTCAGATCCTGTACTTTGACAATTATGCTGTATCTAAAGGGTCTGTGTTAAATACCTCTTTATTTGAGGTTCGTGTTCTACAGTAACTTGGCCATCAATGACCAATACTGTTATTAGGAGGCACTAAGCAGCTACAACTTCTGCTCCCCAAAAAGTAACAAAAGGAGTTGAGGTCTAAGTCAGGCAATCAGATAAGTGTTGGGCTCAGCTAAGGTGATCACCCCTAACGGCTGTTAGTACTATGTGAGGTGGTCCCACATCACACTCAGGGATCTAGTGCAAGGAAGCACCTTCCATCTGAATGGGAATGAAGGGTCTCGAGGCTTTAATCTCATTATGAAATGGAATTTACAACCCAACACTCAGTGGTTCTTCCAATCTGGAAACCCTTATCTTCCTATTCTGGAAAGTTTCTGTATTTGTTCTTTTGCTTATTTTGTGCCTCCTGCCTTCTCTGGCCCTCTACAAATTTCAGCTACACTGGCACTGGTTGTTCTAGGCCCATCCCCAGTCTGGTGGGCCCAAGCACTTGGGGGCGTGGTACAGTCTCCCTGCTAAGGTCGTAGCTCCTTTGAAGGCAGGGCTGAGCTTGACAACCACCCACTGCCGCCTCCACCACCAAGTGCAGACTGAGCGCAAAAGGATGCTTCTGAAGGAGTTGCAGGGTTGGTTAAAAGGGGGCAGCCAAGACCACCACCCCAAGCCTCCCACCACAGTGTGTTCCAGCTCCTGGGGTCGCACCTTCATCTCGCCGTAATGGAGCAGATTCTGCACATCATGCGCCTGGATCACACTGAGTCCAGTGTCACTGCCTGTGGTCATCACACCCTTCACAGTGACGGTGGCGATCAAAGAGCTTGACGAAGACCAGCTGAAGTTCCCGCTGCCCCCATGGGCCTACGAGAAGAAATATCAGATCAGCCTGCCTGCATGAGGGAACCAGAGGGGAGGAGAAAATGCAGGCGTGCACACACACATACACACGTCTGGATGCAGGCCCCCTGGGGCCCTCCCTCACTCCACCTGGCTTAGTATCTGGCTCCCATATTCTGAGGACCTTTGACTGACACACACATTCAACCACACCCCCCAACAGTGGCCCTTGTGGCACCTCCCATAGCTCAGAGTGGAGTGGAAAACACTTGGCCCAGAGCCAGGTATGGGTGAAGTCCAAGCTGTTCGGTGACCAGATACAATGTAGCCTTCCAGCATATTCACTCATACTTGGTGCCTGCTCTTAGTCACCTGTTGTTAAGTACAACGACGCTTCAAAATGTTTATAATGTACATGACAGCCCATGTCCCTCCCAGATCAACGGTCCCTACCCCAACCCCTAGAAGCCAGGAAGATGGCACATGGCAGGTAGCAGTGCAAAGACATGTTACTGAGCAACCGATGGCATTCCCATCAGGAGGTCACGGACACACAGGGCTCTGTAGGTCCCAGGACCCTCACTCATCTGAACTGATGAGCATGGGAACAGACACCAAAGTCAAACAGGATGTGGTGTGTGATGGGGCTAGAGATGTTGTTCCCATGTATCCCAAACTTCTCTCTAAAGGTGCACTGCTTTCAGAAAACAGTATTTTTTTAGAGAATCAAACGTGAGAATATTAAGTGGAAGTCAAATCTGTGTTCCAGGCTTTTTTTAAGCTTCCTTTTCTGTTTTGTTTTTTTTTTTCCTCCCCTGATTGCCAAATTCATTGCTGTGATAGAGACTTCCAATACACAGAAAACATAATGACTGCCCAGGTCTAAAATTTTCCTTGACCACCAGAAAGTAATGTTAGAAGGAACAAGTAGACAAAAAGCACCTCCCATGATCATCCCCAGGAAAGCACCGGAGGTAGGGTCCACTGGTTACCTGTATTGTATACTGGTAGGCACCTGTCTTCGGTTGCCATGGAAATGTCAAGATGCTCGGGAAAAGGGTGATAGGGATGTGAATTTCCACCTCCTGCTGATTCCACACAGGCACCTGTAATATGTGGACCCCTCCATCCTACAAGAGGACAAGGAACTCAAGTCACCATGACACCATGTCTACAGCACAGTTGTCTCCAGTCTCCCAGGTCCTGCCATCCCTATGGGTCAGGTCCCAGAAGACACCCTGTTGGGTCTCCAAACAGCCCTGGAGGGGTGAATGTGATTATCCCCACTGTACAGATGAGAAAACCGAGGCTCAGAAAGCTAAGGCAACTTGCCCCAAATCCCCATAGATGAAATGGTAGATTTTGATAGAAATCTGTTCTATGGTTCAAAGATTCCCACCCCCCACCCCTCCTACCCCCACATCTGGAAGTCTCTTAAAGCTCTGGGAGGCTTTATGCAGGGTAAATGTTAGAGACTGAATTGTGTTCCCTAAAATACGTATCAATTTGGCTGGACCATAATTCTCATTATGATAGGATTCCTTCCATTTTGTGATTTGATGCTATCCTATGAGTTATAACCTCTAGGACGCTAATAAGCCAGGATCTGTTGTAGTAATATTAAGGAGACAGCATACAATCTAGAGGATTAGGTTTACCTTGAATCCACCTCTAGAGATATAAGAGATTAAACAAGTGAAAAGAGATGGGAGGGATCCACTACCCATCTACTACCACCAAAAAAGAAGAGCTGGAAATGGAGGGTGTCCTTGGTTCCCTGTGCTGGGAACCTCCCAGACCCAGGTAAGATTAATGCCAAAACACAAGTAAATCTCCAAGGAATGCAGGGCCCACAGATGTTGAAAGAAAGTAAAGACCTTCCCCCCAGAGCTGGTATAGAGAAAGCCTTCTGCTACAGCTGGAACTCAGAATTTGGATTTCTAGCCTCCTAAACTATGAGAGGGAGTCCTGGCGTGGTGCTGTGGGTTAATGCGCCAGACTGCAAAGCCATTTGAACTGCAAGGTTGGTGGTTCAAGCTCACAAGCGGCTCCTTGGAAACCCTATACAGGGTCGCTATGGGTCGGAACCGACTCGACAGCACTTAACAACAACAACAACAAACTATGACAGGGAGTCCTGTGTGGCGCTGTAGGTTAATGAGCCATACTGCAAAGCCGTTTGAACTGAGAAAGATCAGCAGTTCAAGCTCAACAGCTGCTCCTAGAAAACCCTACACAGGGTCGCTATGGGTCGGAAACAACTTGACAGCACTTAACAACAACAAAACTATGAGAGAATAAATTTCTGTTGGTTAAAGCCATCCACTGGTGGTATTTCTATTATAGCAGCACTAGACCATTGCAACCAAAAAAATCCAAGCCCACTGTCATTTAGTGGATTCTGACACTTCGTGACCCTGCAGGGCAGAGTAGAACTGTTCCATAGGGTTTCCAAAGCTATACATTTTTACAGAAGTCAACAGCTTCATCTTTCTCCCTTCAAGCAACTGATGGGTTCAAATTGCAGACCTTTGGGTTAGTAGCAGTATGCTTAACCTACTGTGACAACTAAAACAGTAGGAAAATGGGAAAACCTGGGCCAAAAAATGGTAAAACATGGCTTGATCTGAAGTTGTGACCTTTGAAATATCAAAATCTAAGGACTTCGAAGGACCCAGCAGCCCAGACAACAGAAGGGATTCCAGTGGTACCTGGTCAGGGTAGGGCCAGACACTAGTTCATTGCTGGTCCAAATCAGCACCCTTTTTCTCAAAACAAGGAATCCAATCCCCACCCCCCAGGAAAAGTTGGCTGACATTTACTGGGAGGGGGAATGAGAAAAGGGCACTCCAGTTCAGGGTGGAAGCAGGAGAGCCTGGAGTTCACATCACCCAGGCCCTCTAGTGCAGCAGGGAATCCACAGAGGGCAGGGAACAGTGAGCATGAGTTGGGACTCGGACAGCCCAGCTGAGGCCAGCATTGTGGGCAGAGGGTCACGGGCGGGCAAGGGCAGGGGCTGCCGTGCCTGGTCCACCACAGAAGTGAGGGTCGCGTCGATGGTCGTTTGGCCCCTCTTTATGGCTCTGATGTGATGGTACGACCCATTCTGGGAGGATGACAGTACTTCAAAATACTCAGCAGGAAGCACCGTTTCAATTCGGATGTTCTAGAAGGCAAGGCAGATGGGTGAGAGGTGCTTCTGGGGTAATATGGGAAAGTCAGAATGCAACAAAGTGGCAACCAGACCCCAACTAGCAGCCACACCAGGCCCAGCGGTGGGGAGGGCACACAGTTGTATTCTTGCCACTAGAACTGAGCTTTGCTGACCTCTCCCTGTGGGCTCCTTCAGGCAGAGCCTGGCCAGGTAACCCTTGTGGTGTTCACCCTACTGCCAACTTTCTTAGCTCCTGAGGTCTCCACAAGGACATTAAAATCCCTTCAGAGCCACTTCAAAATAAAATATTAAACCCAGCCTTAGTCTACTAAGAGAGGGAAGCAGTGACATCTGTCCCTTCTTCTCAAACCTCAAGTACCCCAGAAAAAGCTGGAGGGTTCTTTAGAGGATGCCTCTTTCCCCTGGCAGCGGGCTGACACAGTCACACCTTACGAGAACTGTGGGACACCTGGCAGTGTCAGCAGGTGTTTTCTGGGCACTGATACCTCCAGTCTGAAGGACAAGAGAGGTGGCAGATGGTAGCCCCTGGTCATCCGCAGGTACCCCTTTCTCCAGTCTGTAACAATCACCTCTAGCCTGCAGCCACACAGGGTCTTCAGATGCCCTATGGAGTCCTCCTCCCTGTCTAGGGCGCAAAGGACGCCAACTCCTCCCACCTACCTGAAGACTCCTGGTGCTCTGGGGCTGCTCCTTGGAGATGCACCCACTGCCACCCCCCAGGACCTGAGGTGGACACTCACATCTGACAAGTAGACCTTGTTGCTGGACTTATCAAATACATCGATGGTCACCTCATATAGGCGGCCCGTCTCAAGCACCCACCGATCCCCAGGGTGAATCGTAAACCCTGCAAAGAGGCAAGAGTCAGAGCCTGACCTTTCGGGCAATGGGGCAGCAGAGCTGAACGCAGAGCCTGGGGGCCTAGAGCCCAGCATGCCAGGCCATGCTCCTTGGAAAATGCCTGGTTGGAGTACAGGGTGAGGATTAACCCTGAGTCAACTTTTCAGACTCACAAGGGCCCATAGTGGACATATCCCACTCTGACTGTTCCGCTGTTCATCCACAGTAAGCCTAAGCTCTCACCTGACACCGGAAGCCATCCCCACATATACTGCCCAGCCCAGTCTCTCTGTACTCCGCCCATACACAAGCTCTCAGCACACTGGATGGCCTGCCACTTCCCCAGGGCATGACATGTTTCTCAGCTCACACAGGCCACTCCTTCTGCTAGTGACACCCTCCCTGTAAAATAAGCTCCCCCTGAGAAAACACTGACCTCAAATATCAAGACTGACCTGAACCCAGTCCTCTGTTCTTATGTCTGAACTATTTACCACTGCTTTGTGGCTGCCTGCCTGTGCTGCTTCCCTGCCCCTCCAAGTCAAGGAAAAGAGCAGGGCTCACTACCCCAGGAGCTCAGTGCCTGGCACCGCCTTCAGAAAGCACCAAAAGAGCACAAAGGGCCATGCTACCAAATGTTACAACATTACAGTGGTGGCAAGCTGGGCTCTGCACCCAAAAACCTCTCTAGGGAGTGAGCAGGTTACCTCCATTTGCTATCCCTAGTCAAATGCTATTTTGACTAAACTGTTTCATTGCACTCAACAGGTGAGTCAACTCAGACTGAAGAATGCATTACCATGGAGACCCAGGAAGACAGGTGTGTCTATGGCGTCTCTCAGGCTGACACTATGGCAGCTTCCGGGCTTTTCCTCGCTGCTGTGGATTCCTCCCTCCTCTCTTGGCCAAACACCCCCACCCCCAACAACCCTACCAAGGAATCTTCCAGCTGTCACACTCACCTCATGGTCTTGTATGTAACGGAGCTGACTACTGGTCCCCCACCTCCCCCAGGTTCTACCAGTAGTCATGTTTGGAAACAGCCCAGGTACAGAAGGCAGAAGACAAAGCCCTTCACCACCCTGCCATGCTGAGTCTGCAGGCTGCCTGGCCCCAGCTCCCTGCACCTTATGTGTTTCTGCATATTGATGGGACAGGAGGGGCAGGTGAGTGACCCTCCATGTAGGAGTGGAGGACTAATGTCCCTGGGCCTCACAGGTGCTGGTGCTGGCCCGAGAGTGAAACACTTTCTGTCAGCCATCACAAATGAACAGCAATCAGGGGGATCCAGGAGGGCAACACTCACCCAGGTATCCAGGTTCAACCACGTAAATCGTACTATTAGGTAACCTGGATGCCCCTTGCATGCGAATACCTGGAGTCTTAGTTAAGGGACAAGACACACATAGTAAACACCCCAGTGAGCATTCTGAGCTTAATGATCGTTGGGACATCAATGGACAAAGGCAGGGATGCAAACCCACTGGCTGAGGCCCAGCGGAACAATAATAGTGTGTTAGAATGAAACAACACACTATGCTTCCGACACTAGCCAAGGGGCATCTCTGCTAGAGGCTCTGGAAACCACTTAAGCACACGGACAAGTCTAGAACATTGGCCATCCACAGGACAGTGTGGAAACAGCCTCAACCAGCCTTCTTCTGGGAGTCTCTGGAGGTTAAGTGGCGCTCTCTCCCACCAGGCCCCCAGTTCGGGCAGCCTCTCCGTGATCCATCTGCAGATCCATTTGAGTTTTAGATCACTGAGGGAAGACAGGGCTCTAAAAAGCCTAATCATGGCTTTAAGCAAGACTAGAAAGACAAACCTCTTCCACACCCGACACACAGAGACCAAAAAAGAGGATACTCCTGTGGCTGAGTACAAGGCTGCTGTGTCCCAGCTGCATTGCGGTGACGGTGGAAGTCTCCTGGGCCAAGACAGCAACAGGCCGAGCAGGGTCTCCCTCAGCACTCAGGACATTGTTCTGAAGCTGCAGTTCATACTGGTCGGAGGGCATTGCAAGCTCTGGCCACCGAAAAACAAAGAAGAAACAGGAGAGGAAGAGAAAGAGGAAGGGGAAGCCGGGGGGGAGGAGGGACAGAGAAAGAAAGAAGCATTAGAAGCCAATATATCAGTATCACATATACATTCTCCCCAAGTCTCTGGACCCTGCTGTCAGTACTGCTGCTAGATTTTTTTCCGCTTAACATTTTTCAATTTTTAAAATCCTAATATTATTCCCCATGCCTGTGGACAAAACTGCCGCTCTCCATGAATTTTCAGAAGCACTGCATCTGCCATAAGCTGATTTTCCCCCTTTTAAATGAAATGCAGTCTCTAACTAAAATTGCCCACTGCCTGGAGAATACTAACATTAGACCTGCTTCCTGTCCATCACTGCAGGGGACTTTCCCAGAAGTAAATAGACTTTCTGCTTTTGCACTAGAGCTGAAGTGGCCTCCCTGGACCTGTCTAGTCTCTAAGGGCTTCTGAAAGGCTCTGGTTAATGGTCTCCCACCAGGTTTCCAGAGTTGGGGCTATAATTTGCACAGAATTGACTGTTGCTAACCTGACCATTCATCATGTTGACTACATTTTTGGGAAAAGAGCTTGCCTGGCCCAAGTCAAGATGGAAATCAACTTCCCCAAGGAAATAAAGGGTTCTAGAAATCCTACCATGTCTACCTGCTCCTCCTTACCCGGTAGGTAGAGGCTACAGCATTTTGGATATCAAGTGGCTACCACTGACGGGGCAATCAAGATGTGTGAGGCCCATGCTAGGTGCTTTGTGTGCCGCCATCCACAGCCCTAAAATTGGCACCACTGATATCATATTTTAGAGATGGACAGCTGTCAAAAGCAAGCTGAAGATGTACTCAAAGCCCCACAGCCAGCTCCACAGCAGAGCAGGGACTCAGCTCAGGAGGTCTAGCCATATTTAGACTTCCTCTACTGAGTCTTTAGAATTTCCTATCCAGGAATGCACATGTTCAGCTAAGAGACGTGGTCCTGCAAGACAGGAAAGAGGACCCCACCCCTCTCTGGGTCCCAGCGTAGGATCGGGCACAGAAAGTGCCACATTAAAATTCCTGATGGAGTTTCAGCTAGAGACATCTTCAGAATTCCCTGGAATCAGGTCTCCAGTAAGTTCCCAGAATAAAAGGTTCTCAAAGCCTGTTCCCTAGACCATCATATCACCAATATCACCACAGCCAACATATGCTGCTAAAACGGACTCATAGTGGTCCTAAAGGAGAGGAACTGTTCCACAGGGTCTGGGAGACACAGTACATCTTTATGGGAACAAACGAGAGGTGAGTTTGAACCTCTAGCAGCCACACACTCAGCCCACTGTGCCACCAGAGCCTCTTTCAGCATCACTGGAAAGCTGTAAGTGACTGGCTCCATCCCAGACATTCGTGATTTAACAAGTTTCTCTGGTGGCAATGATGCCCTCCAGAATTTGGGAATAGCTTCAGCCCATTTCCTCATCTCAATTTAGGTGAAGCGCAGCACAGCAGGCCCGTAACCCTGACAGATGAGCCCATGTTAAGAATGTGATAGCAGTGCGTCAGGGTAAAGGTTGAATGAAAGCAATGCAATTGCTCAGTAAAGTGTCATCACTTCATGTGGCTCTAGGTAGCACCAGCTTCCCCTTTGTCTGCTTAAAGTTCTCCAAGAGGAAAAGAAAGCCCTTTGCAAACAGAGCACACTGACTCTCTAGGAATATTTGTAACGCAGATGTAACCCTCTTTGCAAACCCCTTTTGTTGTAGTTAAGTGCCTTGAGTTGGTTATAACTCATAGGGAACCCTGTCTGTGCTTATCCTACAGTACCACACCAGGTCTCCTTTCTGAATGTTGTTGTTGTTAAGTGCCAGTGAGTCAGTTCTGACTCATAGCAACCCTATATAGGGTTTCTGAGAAGCCCGGCTGAGCTCGCGATACTGAACCCCAGCACAGGGATGGCACATAACAGGTGTTTAGTAAATGTACTGGGAAGAAATGAAGCAGTCCCCACCCCAAAAACAGAAGGAAGAAAACAAAACTATAGATAGAAAGAAGAAAAAATTATTTGTAATGAAGGAAACTGAAAGCTAAGAAAATACAAAAAAAATGAATTTTGGATGACAATGAATCTTACAGCATGTAAGGATGTGTGCCTGCCATACAACATGGACCTTCAACAGGGTGCTCTGAAGATGAGCAAGCTCCTTGCTAAAATTCAAACTGCATATAATGACACCTGGTATGTGCTGTAGGATAAAGCACTGGACCACAAAGTCGGTTTGAATGGCAAGGTCAGCAGTTCAAATCCACCAGCCACTCCCTGGAAACCCTATACAGGGCCACTCTGATTTGGAACCAACTCAACAGCACTGAACAGTAACAGCAAATGAGTTGGAGCTGAGTAAACAAAACAACATAATGACACCAATACCCTCGCTTTACTCACTAGTAAACCTGTCAAAAATGAAAGTGATGTAAATTATATCTAAATTAAAAAAAATACCTCTGAAAAATGGATGCTGTTTACATGTATGCTGTGATACTGTGAACTACTAACATGGTCCTTCTAGCCGCAGTTTTTCTAACTCTCTCCAAATGAGGAGTGAAACTATGCAAGTAATGTACTTGTGGCCAACCAATGGGGCTGGCTAGCTTTCTAATAATGCAAATAAGGTACATAGCATCATTGTGGGAGGTGTGTCATGAAAATAAGGTATATGGAACCCCAATGAGGGGATTGGTCAATTTTGCCACCCTACTAGGATTAAATGAGCCATCTCAAAAGTGGAAGAGAATGGTCCATCAAGAAGAGAATGGAGCGGAGCATGGCCTCTGGACCTGGGGTTTCTGCACTGCAACACTGGAGATGGTCAGAGATGGTGATAAGCAGTGGCAGAGAAATGGCAACAACTGAGGCAGCAGGACCACACACTAGCAGGAGATGGTGTGGTGGGCTTCCTGGCCAACGGAGCAAGAGAACTGAGCACCTTCAGGGAGGAGGCTTGCTGGCAGAGATGAGGTCACTGACCCACAGAGCAAGAGGAGTTGAGTGCCTTCCTGCTGAGGCTGACTGATGGAGTGAGGTGCCTCCAAACACTTATACTGGTGGGGCTTAAACCCTTTATAACACTTACGTGAGCAGGGACCCAAGGACTAAGGGCCAGAGAGAGGCCTGCCTGTGAGCACAGCTGAGAAGAGGCTGTCTTGATCAAAGAACTGCACCCTCAGGTCTAAACTGTAAACTTCTACTTTCCTAATAAAGGAGACTTGGTAGCATAGTGGATTACAAGCTGGGCTGCTAACTGCAAGGTCAGTCGTTCAAATCCTACCAGTCACTCCGCAGGAGAAGGATGAGGCTTTCTGCTCCCATAAAGATTTACAGCCTCAGAAACCCTGTACAGGGTCACTGTGAGTTAGAGCTATACTACTTGGTAGTATAAAACCACCACTGCCACTACTTCCCCAACAAAGCCCATAACTGTGAGTAGCAGAGTGTCATGGAAGGAATGGCTGGTGTCAGAATTGGTAAAAAGTTTGGAGGCGTAGGTCTGACCTACACCTCATAGGACTCAGCCTTGGGCTTTTGATCTAGATCCTCTCCCCATTTGTGAAGTTAGAGGTCAGATGTCTCTGTTAAGCCATTGTTACATGTCTTGTTCAAAGTAAATCTCCATTGGCTCCTCCCTCAAAGCTCATCCATCTAGTAACCACTCCAATGCCCCAGCAACAATCACATCAATCTTTTCTGGAGAACTTTTCCATCTCATTGTCCTACTGGTGAAAAGAAGGTACCCTGACTCCTTCTAATACTGGGGTATATTTGATGTGCTCAAAAAGTGAGGTGGTTCCAATAAGATAAGCACTGGACTAAGAACTAGAAGGCCCATGGTTTGAGCCCACCAGCTGCTCCATGGGAGAAAAATGAGGCTTCCTATTCCACAAAGATTTAAAAAGCCTTGAAAACCCTATACAGAGCCACTATGAGTCAAAACGGACTCAAAGGCACTAATAACAATGATAGGTCAACAATTAAACTGCAGGCTTTCATGGCACCCTGCTATTACAGATTGAAGTATCTCTCTGAAAAATGTGTTACAAATCCTGTCACTTTGTTGTACAGTAGTGGTTTATGGTTTGCTGTGATGCTAGAAGTTATGTCACTAGTATTTCAAATACCAGCAGGGTCACCCATGGTAGACAGGTTTCAGTGATGCTTCTGGACTGAGACAGTAGGAAGAAGGAAGAGGTAATGCATTTCTGAAAAATAATCCACTGAAACCTTTTAAGTAGCATCAGAACACCACTTGATAGAGGGCTGGAAGATGAGCTCCTAGAGCTAACCTTACTGAATGGAGCAAAGCTTTTAGGATCTTTACTTGTTGATGGACGTGACTCAAAATGATAAAAACCGCAAACATTCACTGATAATTAGAACTTGAGATTTATGATGTATGAAGATAGAAAATTGGAAGTTGCAAAAAATGAAACCGTAAGAAAGTGAACCAAAATGGACTATATTGGTCATTTTGAATCGAACAACCATATATGGTTTACTTTGCCAGAGATGACAAATTCAAGAAGGATAGTATCACATTAAATGTCAAAGAAAACATTTGTCTGTGATAGGATAATATCCATATGCCTACAAGGAGGTCCAGTTATAATGAATAATATTCAAATTTATGCACCAACCACTAAAGCCAAAGATAAAGAAACTGAAGATTTTTACCAACTTCCACAGTCTGAAATTGATGAGACATATAATCAAGATGCATCAATAATCACTGGTGATTGGAATGAAACAAAGGGAATCAGTAATTGGAAAATACAGCCTTAGTGACAGAAACGATGCTGGAGATCCCATAATCGAATTTTTGCAAGACCAAAGACTTATTCATTGCAAACACCTTATTTTCAATAACAAAAAAGGCAGCCTTACACATGGACCTCACCAGGTGGACTATGCAAGAATCACATTGACCACATCTATGGGAAGAGAACGTGGAAAAGCTCAAT